GTTTTAAAATCCTATTTATTCATTTCATTTGGTAATCCCTAGTTCTTGTATTATGAGAAGGAATAAATAACACTTCCTTATTTACTTTCTCCATTCCAGTCATGATTTTATAGAACTCTATTTTCTCTCTCCTTAGTGGTCTCCTTTTCAAATTGAAAAGTCTTCAGACTGAGGAATGGTGTCCTCCTTATAACTTAGCCCAATAGTTACAGTACTTACCTGGGACTCCACCCTTTATCTGAGGGAGGAAAGAGTTTGAAGAGGGGGGTCTCCTACCTCTAGCCAGTGGGCCGTGTGATACTCTGTTCTGGGGCTGCCCCACTCTCTCCTGTTGAAACTGTTTAATTCTGGATTAAACATTCATTGGCCCAGAGAGCAAATGACTCTGTGACCCACTGTACATGCATTGCATGGCGAATGGGACACCCTGAGTCTAGACTCCCCAGCTGCAATGCTGAATTATTTATACTCCATGGAACTGCTTAAACAGATGTGATTGAGGCCTCCTGCAGTAAGCTTGGTATTACTCTTGCCCAAAGACTCTGCTTTGCAGTTCCTGGGGGATCATGATAGTGGAACAGTCTCCAGCTGTTCGGCTTCCTTCCCTTCTTGTAATTAGTGGTGCTTCTGTCAGCAGTAAATGCAGGTTTGCTTCTCATTGATGTCACCGGGTGCCTTGCGGAGAAATTCCCACATACTGTTTGGGAAAATGACCACAAAGCTTTCTATCCTGAGCAAAGCCATGCCACAGAAGTCTGTCTGTAAGGTGGGGCAATGAGTAACATCTGACCAAAGTTCTGTTTCACTCATCTGCAGGCATTAAACCGCTGACAAAGCCTTCTGGAGGGGATAGCTCTTAGGAAGTCAAGTTCAGACACCAGAACCCTGAACATGACACACGCACACAGGACATCTGCTCCCCCTGACTAGAAATACAGACCTAAAGTGCTTCTGTAATTAGAAGGCCGACGCTCCCACAGGTAACATCAGAGAAAACTTAGTCCGTGAGAGCCAGAGCCCAGGTGAGTCTGTACTCAGCAGCAAGAAAACTAATTCTTGACTTAGAGAGTGATTTTCATCACGGAACTCCATCTAGGAAATGTGAATCCTCAAGACTTAAGTCCAGAAGGCAAATAAACTAAAAACATGTTTTTAAATCTCCCACTTTTTAAGCCAATTTCATTATTTTGGAGGCCTGAATCTTTGGGGTGGGTGACAGTGAAGGGGGCACTGGCATAAAAACACCACTGCTTTTCTTTCACTGAACAAAGTAGCAGGAGCAAAAGGCTGGACTCAGCCAGTCAATCACAAAACTACTGTCCAGCTCCCTAAGGAAACCACCAAAGCCCTCCTTCAATGTGTAAGCTAGCTGTCCCCCACTGCCAGCCTGGTTTTCATCCGGCATATGGGAATGCAGACTAGGGATGTAACAGTGTAATTGACTAACAAATTTAGAGATTAGAGATGTTAGGAAGCATGTAATTCGGTAATTGTGTAGCCAACAAATTTTGTCAGCTACGTGATTAACTGATAAGCAGCTCTGCTTTTGAAGAGCTTGAGAGCCGGTGCATGAGCATGCTGTCTCAGTCCTGGCTTGTGCCAGGTCTGGTACCTACCTCTGATGAGGCTTTGCATTTAAAGTGTATTAGGTGGGTGGGCAGACAACCTGGCTGAGTTCTGGCTTGTGTAGGGTCCAGGAGCTCAGACCGTTTTCCCAGCCAGGAGCTGGCAGGCCGGCGGGCGGGAGCCAGTCTGCATAGGGAGCTGGTTTTTAAACCAGCTCACCTCACGAGCTGGCTCCCACCTGCCACCCCATGCTGCTGCCTCTGATACAGAGGCAGCAGTGTGAAGTAGCAGGGGACTCCTCAGGAGTGAGGCCAGAGCACACTGTGGCTGCAGCCCTGCCCCTGGGAACTATAGACTAGTCAACTAACCAATAAGAATTCATTAGGTTAATCGACTATTCAATTAACCAATATTTAACATCCCTGATGCAGATCCCAGCAGGATATATGAAAAGCCAGGAGTGTCTAGGTCCCAGCCCCAAGACTGGATCATACACCTTGAATGTCAAGAGAATCAGAAAGGGAGATGTGGAGATGCAGCATTGGTGTGCATGCAAGTGCACCCACTAATTCCCATCCAGGAAAGTGGCTAAAGCCTTGACAGAGCCCTGAGTTCTTAGCCTCCATTTCAGAGATGAGACACTGCTGCAATCCACAGTATTTCAGTTTCTGCCCCGATCTCTGGTACCTGCTGCGATGAGGAGAGGTGCTCTCTGTCCTGGCTGCTATTTCTGAGTTTGGTACAGAATCTCCAGGCCTGACTGATAAAATCCTCAGAGGGAGACGCATGCACAACTCTGTTTAATACAGGCCAACAAGAGTTGTTTAGCACAGGAACCCTGACTGTCCATAATTAATCACAGATGTGTAGTTTTGAGGAAACAAAGCAAAGCAGTGAAGCACACAGTGATTAGTCAAAGACCAAATTTCCACCAAGCAGGGATTTTCCTGCACCCCCCAATGCAGGTGTAACCACCCATTCTGAATTTCCCCAGCACCCCCCAACCAATGGTCAACTAAATTATATGCAATGTTGCCAATTATAGTCATTGGTTGGAAATTTGGATTGAAATTGAAACATTAATATACACTTTAAAAGCATATTCAGAATATGATCAAATACATCTACCTGAAAAAGTATCAGAGATTTGAAAAATATGAACAAGGACTAGCTTTCTTATAAAATGGCAAATGAAGTTTAATGTTGATAAATGTAAAGTAACGCACATTGGAAAAAATAATCTCAACTATATATACAATATGATGGGGGCTAATCTGGCTACAACTACTCAAGAGAGAGATCTTGGAGTCATTGTGGATAGTTCTCTGAAATCATCCACTCAGTGTGCACGGCAGTCCAAAAAGCAAATAGAATGTTAGGAGTCATTAAAAAAGGGATAGAGAATAAGACAAAAAAATCTTATTGTCTC